GTTGGTAAACAAACGGTGAAACGCAGAAGCTTCAAAGAACGGTTTAATATGTGAACTAGAGCCTAGACAATACGATAACCAACGTGCACGAAACAGCATTAGGCGCTGTTGATAAATGTCGTGAACCAACTAGGATTCGAGCCGACTTGCGATAAAGCTTATAAAAGCTTAGCTTTTATGCCGGCTACATTTAGTGTGAAATCGTTTCAAGCCTTCAACAGCCTATAAACAGTTTGTACGAATGACAAGAACTTTTTAGTCCGTTCGAACATGTGTTTAATGGTTGAGTATATATATATATATATAGTCAGGGTATATTTTATTGCACAAAGACCGCCATGGAACATTTTAATATAAAGCGCCAAATGAAAATTTACATTCACGCACGCTTCAGAAATTTGAATAAATTGGAGTTAATTTACCCAAAACGTAAAACGGATATGACGTACGGCGGGCAAGCTTTTCTTCGTTTATTCGTAGACCCCTCACGAAACTTGTTTCTGCTGGGGTCTACACCGTAGGCTAGGGCTACCTATGCTTCTTCTTTACTCGAAGCTAACGATATTGTTTGGGAATTGGTGAAAAAACCATTTTCTGCTGAGCAGAATATTATTGTTTATAAGCAGAGACAAACGCCAGATCTTTCGACATGCCCGATCGGAAGGTTTTCAAATGTCGTGGTATTCAAAGAAAGAATGGCTTAGCCAGTCAGGCTTAGGCTAAATAAGCTATTGCCTATTGGTATTTAGTTATTGTTACATGTATTTTGTCTTGAATATTTAAGCCTTCAACCCGAGCATAGGCGTATAAAGCATCGAACGCTATATATTATATGAAATACAATGTCAATGTCGAGGTCAATGTAGTAAACAATGTAGTTCTATAAATAGCGCTGCAAAGCTTATACATTTCAACACGCAACACAAACATTTTAGCGATTGTGATTTAGCAACATATTTGATATATACTTGTTTGTGAAACAAACAAAGAAATTTCAGTATATATTGTTAAATTGTATTTACCATTTGGTACTGTACATACTCCCCGTGCGTTCGAAAATATCCAATATTGGCAATAGCCGCAATAGCCAATAATCGATATGAATGCAGAATTCGGCTATAAAACTGACAGTAAAACTTCTACTCAAACATCTGATAATGCTTAATTCATTTCTGTATGTAATATTGTAATAATTGGGCGATTGATTTTAAATTAAGGAAATTGATCAAGGCTCATGCGTTATATTTTCCAAGTCCTGCATATATACCTATATTCTAGATTATACTGACTGTTCTGAGTGTATTAATTAGCAGCTATTTGTCATTATGTTCCGTTAGTATATGTGGATAAAATTGTATCTAGTTCTGGAAATGTGAAAACTCTTCAGACTTCACGTTGGAATACTACAAGGGGATAGCAATTAGGTAGTCTATACAGACTATGATAATACAGAACATGCATGTAATATTTTCTGATCGAAAAGAAATGCACAATTGCCGGTATGACTATAATTTGCGGAACTGCAGACCACAGATTTCCTATTTTTCTGTCGATCTTCGTTATTGTTGTCTGAAATATGCCAAAATATCCACATATTTTCCCGTCATTAGATCAAGCTATTTTCTGAAATTTGATGCTCAGATTGCAGTGATTAACATATATAAAAATTATAAATGCCATATCGTGATGATTAACATATATATATATATATATATATATATATATATATATATATATATATATATATATATATATATATATATATATATATATATATATATATATATATATATATATATATATATATATATATATATATATATATATATGTTAATCACCGTAGGAAAGTATTTTTTAGTGAAGAGGAAAAGTTGGGACTAAGTCGGATTCGAACCGGCGACCTCTTGTAACCCAGAGGTCGCCGGTTCGAATCCAACTTAGTCCCAACTTTTCC